GATATACTGGTACTCTCTCAGTGATTCTGCTTTTTAGCTTTTCAAAGATCATTCTTGCTTCAAATTCAGTTTTTGCCGTATGATAGTATTCAGGTGGCAAATCTTTTATTTTCTCAAAGCTATTATAGACTCCAATTTTTGGTCCGGTGTGTACCGTGTACCAATTAGGTGCCCTTTCATCTTCGATAAAGGTTGATTGGGTCTGTTGTTCTTTGACCAAAGCATCTTTGTATTCGGTTGTGGTTTTGGCTTCGCTTTTGCTATCAGACTCTGAGAGTCTTCCCTTCTCTGTCTGATTTTTCAACTGTATTATCTTCAATTTCTGTTTTAAGATTTCCAATTCATGTTCCTTTTGCATGATTTCCAATTTGAGTTCTTCAACTTGAAGATCCATTCTGGTCCTTTTTGCTTTTGATTTTTGCAATTTTTTGATGATCTTGTTCGAGTAACTGCTTCTTCAATCAAATACCTGCAAATTCCCTTGTTAGACAATCAGCAAGATAATTTTTATCACCTTTTATGTGTTCAACATCGAATTGATAGTGTTTTAGGTGTAATTGCCACCTAATCAATCTACCTTGTTTGTAGTCTCCTTTAAATTCGTTTCTAATAAAATAACTGAAATTATTATTATCAGTTCTTACTAAGAACTTATTAGAGATAAGATATATTTTGAATTTTTGAATGCCACGTAAGACTGCTAGCCATTCTTTTTCATTACTATGATAATTCTTTTCAGCATCTTTAAAAGTTCCTGAAGTATATCTACACAATTTTTCTTTAGTAGAGTCTGTTGGTTTTGCTTTTAAGACTGCACTCCAGTAATAGTCGGAGGCATCCGTTTCTAAAATCATTTTATCATTTTCTTGAGGATAATATAACGTGGGTAGAATTTTGAGTTTTTTCTTTATTTTTTCTACGTATGTTGTATCACTTGGAGACCAAGTAAAAATGACATCCTTTTTCAATTTTGCTTGTAAAGGCTTACGTATTGCTGCTAGATTGGCTATGTAGCCTTCTGAGGGAAATTCAGAATTTTTTGTCATGATATGCGGTTGCATAGTTAGACTTCCATTTTCAATTTCAAGTCCTAAGAAATTAATCTTAGTTTGAGCAATTTTAGCCTTTTTCTCAGAGAAAATTATTCCCTCTTTAAGACATTGTTCTAATACTTGTATAACATGTTTATAATGTTCTTGTTCGGTTTTGCTGAAGACAATTATATCATCAACATATACTGTGCAAATTTTACTAGATTCTTTGCTCGGGTCTTTTAAACATAGAGCATTGTCAATTCTCCTTTGGAATAATCCAGGAGCTTGTTTTAACCCGAAAGGAACAACGTTCCATTCGAACTGTCCATTTGGGCAACTGAATGCTGTTAACTTTCTGCTTTCTTCTTTCAGAGGGACTTGCCAGAATCCACTCTTACAGTCGAACGTACTAAACCATTTCATATTTTTAATTAAATGAAATAACTCTTCTTTCTTAGGTAAAAAATACCCATCCATTTCTGTATTATCATTTAATTTTTTATAGTTAATGACCATACGTCTTTTTTGTCTTTGTTTTTCAGCTTCATTTTCTACTAGAAAGGCTGGACTACTATGTGGAGATTTACTAGGCCGAATTAAATTCATTTTTATTAATTCTTCAATCTGTATGTTAAACTCTTCTCTACCTCGAGGAGTATAGCACATTGGTTTAACTCTTATAACCTTTAAAGGGTCAATTAATTTTATTTCAGCATGTAAAGCTGGATTTTTTATGCTTTTATTAAGCATTTTATCTAACGTATTTTCACTCGTTATTTTATTTAATGCTCTTTGACAGTCTCCTAAAGACAACATATAAAGCATTTGATGTTTAAATATTAAGGTATCCATTATTCTTTTACATTGCATGGTTCGAATAAAAATTCTTTCTGGATTTCTAGTTTCACTTGTTATTGCAATGTTTTTCTTTTTTATTTCAGTAACCTCACCACGTTTTCGTAGTTTGGAGTTATTTTTCATGAATTCTTTAGATGCAAAGCTATAAGCTTTCTGCACTATAGTTATATAAACTGGTACTTCATTTAAATGTAACAGTATATAATTTATTTCCTGGACAAATGGTCTGTATAATTTTAAGAAGTTATTACCTATTAAAAGGTCTACTCCCGTATCTTGTTGGTATATAGTAGGAACTATAAATTTTTCTCCTGCTATTAAAAATGTAACATTATAAGCCACTTTATCTAAAGTAATTACTTGTTTATTTGCAACTCGTGCAGTTATTTTTTGTTTAGCATTTTCCCATTTTTCAATGGGTAGTACAAAAGGATGTGCAGCACAAATGCTTGCACCTGTATCTATATATCCATGAAGATGATATAGTCTATATCCAGTGAATTTAAAACCCACCTTGATATAGGTGCTACTAGGGTTAGTTATATTTAACAATTGTTCCATTCGTCAGAACTATCATCAGTGCAACTTTCCCAGTCAGAGTTTGGTTTGGAATAGAATTGTTTATATTCTATTTCAAATTTTAATTCATATTCTGAATCATTAAACTCATTTTCAGATTCAATTGGTTCAAAGTTGAATTTTTGCATTGTATAAAGCATTTTAACTTTATCTTTACTTTCTTTTCTTTTAGGACATTCATTTGCATAATGACCTTCTTCCTGACATAACCAACATTTACAGTTAGTTTTTCCCTTTGGGCAATATTTTTCTTTTCTTTGAATTCTTCTTCTATATCTGGGTTCGTTCATTTTATGATTCTCTTTTTTGTATTTGCTATATTTAGGAATATACCTTTTATACTTTTTAAACTTCTGGTATTTTAGTTTCCTAGAATGCCTCTCTTTTTTAGTTCTACAACCCCATTTATTGGGTATTTCTAATAATTGAGGATCACAACATGGTTTGTTTTGATAGTATACAAGAGTCCCTCGTAACTGGGTATCTTTACATCTATCTTCTATGGTTTCTTTAAGAAGATTTACTCTTCCTGCAAAACTTTCTGTAATATGATCAGGTTTATTAGACCATTTTTTGTTCATTTCAAAAGCCCACAATGGTGGCAGCTTATTGAAGTATTTTTCAGCATATGCTGGTCTATCTTCTTGTTTTAACAAGTAATACCATTTTTCATATTCACATGTAAAATTTTTCCAATAACAAATATCACATATTTGAATATTGTCAAGTATGAACTTTGCTTTTTTTTGTCTCTCTTCTAACACTACATTTGTGTTATCTAATTCTCTGACTCCTACAAACTCATTAACTAGTAGTTTAGCCAAAGCATTTAGATACTCTATGTTATCTTCCGGTTTATTCCAAAGAGCATCAAGGCTTGGAACATATGGGTTTGAATCCCACCAGTTTCTAACATTTCCCTTCATATGAAGTTCTAAATATTTTGTTAATGTTCTTAGATTTTCAAACGCTTCTCTATTAGTTTGTATTATTACTAACATATAATTATACCAACCTTTTATTGTTTCAACTGGTTTTGTCAAACAATCTAGATTGAGTATGTTATCACTATGGCTATTAGAATTATCTTTAGGAATAAATTCCTTCGGAATATAATTCTATGTTTTATTTTTCTTGTAAGGTTTTGCCTTACTTCTTTTCATATTCATTATTCCTGAAATATTTATTTCAGGGAATGTTTTTTCTTCATCAGATACATCAAAATACCTATCTGCATTTGGATTATAGAACTCATTGTTTATGTATTCTTCAGGAGTCATATACTCATGAGTGTCTTTATAATTGCTTGGTCCTGGAGGAATATCCTTAAGATCTTCTTCAATTTTAACATTTATACGATCTTTTGGTTCTAGATTTTCACTTTCTGAACTAGAGTCGCTGTAATTTCCAACGAATTCTTTTAAGGATAATATATTTTGATATTTGTCTAATAGAGACTGAATATCAGTTTCACTTTGAATAGAATCAGTGTCACTGTTCATTTTTCTCCAGGCAATCTTTTTCTTCCACTTTTAAATAGATTACTAAGATCCCATTCATTCGGTGGTCTATATGTTGGTATAGACTTCTTTTCTTTAATGTTTCTTAAAACTCTTTCTATTTCTAATAATTTATTGTCTTGGTTATTAGACTCAGACTGTTGTATATTTTGCTCTATTCTTAGAACAACTTCTTTTATTTCACTAACTATTGTTAGTATTTGTTGTACATTTCCTACGTCAGGACTTTTAGATATTTAATCCTAATTCTTTTCCAATTTGATTTACAAGTAAAATTACTTTACTTAAATGTTCCATTAATGGTTCAATTTTTGGAATTTTCTCGTCTAATTTTATTAAAGTTTCTTCTAACCTATTTACGTTTATTCTATTGATATTCTCAATAATTTTGTCAGCTTTTGCTGCGATATCAAGAATTTCTGATAGTAAAGTATCAAGAAATTCGATATTTCTGCTCGTTTTTTCAAGTCTTTCAAGAATTAATTCTTGATTATTTCGGATTTTTTCAATATTTTTCCAAAGAGGAGTATTATTTATTCTATTCATTTCTCAAATATTTGAAATTTGAGCTTTTTTAGCTTATTCTTGATGATTTTTGTTTTTGGTTAAGTGTTATAAAAGGGCAATAACACTTTTATTTTTATAAAATGGTTAGATTTCATTTTTTATAAAAAGTAATGGTTATTTAAAGCTTTTGACATAAGAAAAAATGATTTTAAGGGCAATTATGTACTTTTGCAAACCAAAATGGCTAGATTTTGATTTTTTTGAAAAACATGGCTAGATTTCATTTTTTATTTTATAAAAGTGCTATAAAACCTCAATATTCGAATATTTTTATGGGTTATCTTCTCCAAAACACACCGAAAAGTGAAATGTAAACTGGGTTTGGATTGTGGAGATTCATGGGAACTGGTTCGTTGTCACCTTTACCATTGCAATATCAGAGTATGACATAAATTTTGTAGCTCCAAGCAAAATGGCACATTTATTAGAATTTCAGAAACCCTCATTTAGAACAATCTTCATCATAAAAAACCAGTTCTTTCTTCCCGAAATCATGGATTACCCTCTTGTTCGCCTGCTGGTGCGTGCCGATGAGGGTCATCCCGTCGTCCCTCACCATCGCTAGGCAAAAATACTGGCGGGCTCCGGTCCGACGCCGCCCCACAATGTCGAAACCCGCCTCGGGTCCCACCACGAAATCCGCTTTTGTTCCCTTCAGATGAAACGTGATCTCCGGCAGCAGCCCGTCGATCCCGCCGGGCCCTTTCCTTTCGTAGCATAATTCCAGGCCCAGATTTCGTCCGAGCCTTTTCAGCCCCCTTTTGCTCGAAAAATAGTTTTCTAGCGCCTTTACCAGGATTTTGAACGCGGGCGTTATGATTCTTGAATACGGCGTGCCGGTGTCGATGATGCAGCCGCCGGTGAAATTGTTGCCGTCGAAAAGAAAAACCTCGGGTTTTATGCGTAGTTTGTTTTTGTTGACGCTGATGTCTTGTAGAGCCACATAATACGGGCTGTTTTGGTCTGTTCTGAGTAGTGGGGTTTTGCTGGAGCTTTTGGGCTGTGGTTTTCCGGTGTCCCCTAATACCAGATAGGCGTTCGATGATTTGTCTGTGAGAGATGGCAGGCAGTATGAGAATTTGCTGTTGATTTCGGGCCCAGTTGTTATACGACCGATTGATCCTCCCATCCCATGCCGATTATTCCGGCAATCTTGTTGTTTCGAATCTTATCATATTGTATGACATTTTGCAGGCAGCAGCCGAATTGTATATTTGGGAATTTTACCGATTTACCTGCTTTGGACCTGAGATGGAACGTTTCGTGGGCCAGCACACCTCGTGTGATGGCCCTATCTTGGTACTCGTACTCGTACTGCTTGGGCCCCTTCTCGATGAGAAGGGGCCGAAAGGAGGAGGAGTTTTTGGCAGGAAATGGCTGTGGGATTTGATTGAAACACTTCGTGCAGCCATGGCATTGGAGCCAGACGAGGCTGCTGCCCGTGTCCATTTCTAAGTAGTACTCTTTGTAAGGCGGGTCGGATTTGAATGTCCCGATCCCGATTTTCAAGATGTAGTGGCACTGTTGGGTCTCGATCCGTGTTTCTGTTAAAAGTGTCTGTGTTTTGAATTGCAGGGCTGACCTTTTGATCCTATCTTCGTGTGAGAGGTTATTTTGGTAAAATGGCGATTCGGGTGAGTAGGGATGGATGATCTTGATTTTCAGGCCAGTGGTGTTCACGAGAGTATTGTGTATTGCTGAGTGTAAAGCTGGTGAGAAAAAATATTGATAGCAATTTCACTACTTCCCCCATTGATGATGAAATTAGAGGAACTTGCATTGTTTGTCTGTGCAGGATGTGAAGCTGTTTTATTCTTGGAGTGAGATATATTTGTGATTTAATATTCTTTTCCATGTATAATTAACATGTACTGCAGATAGGGTATGATGACGAGTTCATGAATTAGGCGTGGCATATATTTCATGTTTTTTGTATTATCTGCTAATTATGTCTAGCGAGCGGATACACATGATATGATGATTGATGCATTTCAAAACATATCTTTCTTCGGGAGTTCATTATGATATCAAATACAAGTGTGTTTAAAAATTAATACAAAAGTAATGTAGCATTCCACACAAGTTATTTGATGGTGAAAAAAGTTCTTGTGAGGTAAGAATGGTTTGATGATATGATTAATTCATCCAGGATTGTGAAAGTCGCAATCTTTATCCAACTTCATCTCTTTTATAAGATAACTGTTTTTGAATTTTAGCTTAAATGCAAAAGGTACAAATTTTTGCAATTGGAGTTATTGATATATTTTCCTACAGAGGAATTGATAGCTACAGATACAAATCCAATTGATGAAAACATTACATGTTTTGTTCATGAAGTTACTATTTTTTAGCTCTCTAAAGCATCTCATGGGTTCTTTGAACAATCCTCCGGATAGAAAACCAGTTTCTTGCTCCTTGTATCATGAATAATCCTATGATTTGTTTGTTGGTGAGCTCCAATAACAGACATCTCATCATCCGAAACCATCGCCAGGCAAAAGTATTCTCGTTTTCCACTAGCAACCTCGAACACAGCATTAGGCTTCAAAACAAAGTCCGCTCGTGATCCCTGTAAATGGAAGGTAACTTCCGGAAGATTCTTGAACCCTTTTCTTCCCTTGCTCCTCTCGTAGCATAATTCCAGTCCCAAATCATCTTCAGCTTTAGTTTTCTTCAAGTCTTTGAATTTCTAACTCCTGTTTTATAATTATGAATGCAGGTGTTATGATCCTCGAGTAAGCCGTGCCCATGTCAGTTATGCAGCCGGATATGTGAGTATGAGTACTCCTTTTGAATACAAACACTTGCGGGTCAATTTTGAGCCGAGTTTTATTAATGCTAATGCCTTGCATCAATACGGAATAGAACTCCTTTCCCCTTCTGTACAATGGGGTACTTTTGGCGATTCTATGATGGGCTGTATAATTATAATCTCCAAACCTTAGATACGTTTTGGGTGCCTTTTCTAAAATTATAACCGGCAAGCAGTAAGAGAATTTTCCTTTCACTTCCGGTCCGAGTTGGTTGATCAGTGACGAATCGCCCCACCCAATTCCCATTATTCCAGCAATCTTGTTATTTTGATACTCTCCGTATTCCATTACATTGTTCAAACCACACCCGAATTGCACGTTTTCGATTTTCACTAATCCTTTCTTTGTCTTGAAGTAGAAAGTCTCGTGGGCTAGAATGCCGCTCGTGATATCTCCATCTCCATAAACGCTCACATAACCTAATTGATTACCTTTTTCGATAAGGGCTCGAAAAGAGGAAGATTTTTCGTTGGGAAATGGGATTTGTGTTTGGTTGAAGCATTTTTTGCAGCCATTGCATTGGAGCCATGTGAGGCTACTTCCGGTATCTAAGTGTAAGTAGTACTCTTTGTATTGGGGTATCCACTTGAAAGTTCCAATTCCGATTTTTACAATGTAGTGAAAAAGTTGCACTTCAACATCGGCTTGCACGATTTGGGACTTTTTAGTTTTTACTGAAGTAATTGGCTCGTATTCTGGTCCGTGAGGCTAAGAATTTGATTCTTTGCTCATGAGAAATGTTCGTTTGGAAAAAAGGCGAATCGGTCGAGTATGGATTTATAAGTTGTATTGTGAAGCTATTGGATTTGACTAGGCTTATTTCATGTAATGCAAGGATTATGGCAATGAATCTGAAGAGTGGGAACGCCATTGCTAGTGAATTCTTGTTTGAGTTTTGTTGTGCTATGTTAGCTTCGTTTCCAGCCCTTTTTTTTGTTATTTATTTATAGTAAATTGATACCACATGAGTTTTTCACCTAGAATTTATGATGTTCTTATCATTGGGGAAAACTAAAGGTTGGTTGGGATATATATGTATTGATACACAGGTGATTTTCATCCTTTCTTGGATTACTGTTTAGATATAATTTTTCATTAATCGATTAAATTGCGATCTATTCCAATGAAAGGTCTCGATTCTTTGCTCGTGTGAGAGGTTAGTTTGGATAAAAGGCGAGCCGAACGATTTTTTGCAGGAACTTTTTAATCATCTTATTCAATAAAATTTCGACACAAACTCTGCAAAAACATCTCAAACATTCTTGGAACAAGCTGTCCTGCTGTTGCTGTTCTTCACTGCGAACACTTGTGGACTGATGTTGAGCTTAGCCCTGTTCATGCTGATGCCCAGCATTTCCACATAGTAAAGGTCTTTATTTTTCATTCTGATCAGTTGGGTGCTTTTGGTGAGTTTGTTTTGGGCTAAGGCATCGTCACCGAATCTTAGATACGCGTTGGGTGCGTTTCCCGAGTTTATACGAGGCAAGCAGTATGAGAATTTGCCTTTGCTTTTGGGTCCAAGCTGTTTGACGAACGAGTTCTCTTCCCAGCCGAGTCCCATTATTCCGACAATCTTGTTATCTTTGAGTTTCACATATAATATATTGTTTTCCACACCACACCCGAATTTGATGTTTTCGATTTTTGCCAGCTCGGATGTTTTGGTCTCGAGGTAAAATGTTTCATAGGCCAAGATGCCGCGAGTGCTGTCTCCATCTGTGTATTCACACTTGTAGAATGCTGGCTTGCTTTTATAAGTAATCGTGCGAAAAGATGAGGAATTTCCTTTGGGGAATGGTATTGGTATTTGCTTAAAGCACTTTGTGCAGCCATCACATTGAAGCCAGACCAGGCTACTTCCCGTGTCCATCAATAAGTAATACTCTTTGTACGGCGGTTTGGAATTGAAAGTTCCAATCCCGATTTGACAGTCTATTGAAGGAGTTGCACTTCAAGGTCGGGTTGTATGGTTGATGGCAACACGTTTGGGAAGTAATTTGGGTTTGTGTTGGATTGGGTAGCTAAAAGTTTGATTCTATTTTCGTGAGATATGTTGGGTTGGAAAAAAGGCGATTTGGGCAAGTATGGATGTATTAATTCTATCGTCAGGCCATTCGAGCTGACAAGAGCAATGTTTAGTGGTGCAAGGATTATGGTGGCGAAGCTAAGCAGTGAAAACGGTGTTGGTATGTTTACCATTGTTAATCAATCTGTTGGACTCTGTTGTATTATCATAAATGTTTATTCTTGAAGCCCTTTTATTGTTGACTTGATATCATGGTCATTTAGTAAAATTTTCCATTTTTCTGAAGAGTATTATAGTTCAGTGCTTTCATCTGTAATGTAGGGATGACTATCCTGAGGATAAATAAAGTTGGGTGTATGCTTATTTGTTAATGCACAAACAATTCCATCCTATTGAAGAGTGGGATTATGTAGTGAAGAACTGGGACTTCAGTCTTTTTTCAAGCACTCATTATTTTATCGGGAACCAGTTCTTGTTTTAAAGCCTTCTGTTTATATATAGGTAGTGTATTAAAAAACTTGGCTTGTGGGGGGTATTTACTCATTGCTGCAGAAGAGCAAAAACTAGTCAAGAGAACTTGAAATTTGGTTTTGTTAAGGCATGGTTTATGTTGCATAGACTGTAAAAAGTCTGGTATTGTGATTGTGAGTGAAAATAGCAAAAGCAGGACGAAATATCTGAAGTACCCCCTGCTTCTAGTTCTTATTAATAGAGATAAAATTTATTGGAGAATGTTGCATTGGTGAACACTAATAAGATAAACATTGTAGTTGTTACTTGGACTTCATTTGCCATTTGAGTCTACCTCGATTTCTTGCAGTTCTTTTTTTGTTGTTATTTTTGTGTTTTACTCCCTATAGAAAGAAAATACAAAACTCGAATTTATTCTATCAAATGTCAATGTAGCTTACCCAGAAACAACTCATGGATTCTTGGAACAAACCTCTGGGTGGAAAAGCAGTTGCTTATTCCTTGTATCATGAATATGCTGATGTGATCCTGTCGACTTCTCAATATGCTGAATCATTGCCAAACAGAAGTATTCATAGGACTCTAATAAATGATATCGGCTAAAGGTCGCAAATGCAGCCTCAGACTTCAAAACAAAATCCAATCGTGACCCTTGCAAATTGTTGTTGAATCTTTTGTTTCGAACATACAGCCTATCCAAGGTGACTTGTCTGACTTGTCTTAATTGTTGTTGAAATTAATTACTTGCAGTTTTTTATTGATGTTCTTGTGAACAGATTAGATCATTTTGGAAATAAGTGCATATATAAAGTTGATGGTAGTTTGCAGAAGAAATGAAATTTTGCAAGTGGGAAGGTTCGGTGTTGGACTCTATAATGGGAGCGTACCTTACACAGAACGTGAAGGACACTATTTCAAGGTGACAACAATGAATTTTCTTTTCTTTTATTTTTCTTCCAAATATATTTTTTTATTCATATATTGAGCAGTTCTGCCTTCACATCACTCGCGGCTAAATATCCGCTCAAAGAAACCCAAGTACATTCTTCGTCGGAAATACATGAGGAGATGTTGCCCACTATTCCCAGTTGTAAAATGAAAAAGCCAAGAACGACTGACTTTGGAAGGAAAAATCATGCGTTGAAGGGGAAAGCTGTGTGTGCAATAGGCTCGTGTTCAGAGATTGAAAAAAGAAGGAAATTAGTAAATGATGAGGTCCTGCCCACAACAAATAATTGGAACACAAAGGAGAGAACAAATGTTACTGAAAGGAAACGTGCGCTCATAACAGGAAAAAGAAAGAGGAGTGAACATGGCTGACATTCTTTAAAGAAACGTTATGTAAAAGGTGAGTTTGCTGATAACTCATGTGATAAAGACACATTCGATGCCTTGAATTGGAAAACAGTGCAAACGGCCGAAGTTGTCGAAATAGCTAAAGCCATTGAAAAAACAGGGATGAGCAACTGCGGCCGAAGTTGTCGAAATAGCTAAGGCCTTGGATTGCTCATCTCTATTTTTTCAATAGCCTTAGCTATTTTGACTATTTCAGTCGTCTGCACTACTTTTCAATCCAAGGCATCCAATACGTCATTATCACATGAGTTATCAGCAAACTCACCTTTTATATAACGTTTCTTTAAAGCATGTCAGTCATGTTCACTCTTCTTCCTTTCCTGTTATAAACGCACGTTTCCTTTCAGTAACATTTGTTCTCTCCTTTGTATTCCAACTATTTGTCGTAGGCATGACCTCGACATTTACTATTTTCCTCCTTTTTTCAACCTCTGAACACGAGCCTATTGCACACACAGCTTTCCCCTTCAACGCATGATTTTTCCTTCCAAAGTCAGTCGTTCTTGGCTTTTTCATTTTCCAATTGGGAATAGTGGGCAGCACCTCCTCATGTATTTCCGGCGAAGAATGTACTTGAGGTTCCTTGAGCGGATATTTAGCCGCGAGTGATATGAAAGCAGAACTGCTCAATATATGAATAGAAAATGAATATATCTTGAAGAAAAATAAAAGAAAAGAAAATTCATTGTTGCCACCTTGAAATAGTGTCCTTCACGTTCTGTGTAAGTACGCTCCCATTATAGTGTTCAACACCGAACCTTCCTACTTACAAAAATTCATTTCTCCTGCAAACTTCCATCAACTTTATATATGCACTTATTTCCAAAATGATCTAATCTGTTCGCAAGCACAACACTAAAAAAACACTACAATTAATTAATTTCAACAACAATTAAGACAAATCACCTTGGATGTATGCTCGAAACAAATGATTCGACCCGCTCAAGTAAACATACCCTCTCCTTCTCCCACCACTCCCTTTCAACTTTAACAACTTCATCCGCCAACCGCCAGGTCAGAGATTTCCCATTCTTTCATTCTACTCTCATCCAGATCGACTTTCGATGCCGATTGCTTTGGTGCAGCTATTTCTTTATCACCCACACTTGTAGTTTTGTCCCTCGTGATTTTTCGTTGCTTTAGTTTCAAGACAACCGCTTTGACCCTTTTCGCCACAATTGTTTCCTTTGACCCTGAGATATACATATGGTAAATAATACTCAACGGAATCGTAGCATCTTCTCATACAAAGCTACAGACATAAATCCAACATATAAGCATACAACATATGTTTGAATATACATCCCAAATAAGAGAAACCAAAGCAATACACCATAATCTTTTATTTTTTATTTTGAAAAAACCACACAAATACATATTATACATTTCTATCTACCATCGAGCGACTTTTATACTGACACTTTCTGCTACAGCTCAAGAATGGGAATTTACCAAACAATCTGAATCATCATCACGTCAAAAATCCTAGTGATCGATCTTTGCAAAACGACCCTTTATCCTCGTCCTAGTCTCTGCCCGTGCCTTTCTTGATTCGTACCTAATGTGCTTGTCATATCTGTTCACATCAAATAGTTTTATGTAAGGAAGTATTCAAAATATCTGCAATGTCGTGTTAAAAGGACTCAAATCGAGAAGACAAGTGAATGGATTCGATCATTCGAGACTAGAATTGAGACGAACAATAATTATTTACCTCCTAATTTTCTTTTTCTCTTTGTACCGCAAAATTGCCGAGTCCCGCTCTTGAGCGTTCAATTCACGAGCTCCCCCTACATGAAGCACTTGGGGAGCCTTGAAATCGAGAGGATTGTGCCAATGCATTTCAAGAACTTCATCTGCAACACTTTTATCTTCAATGTTGTTCAAATCTTTGTCAGGCACCAAATGGTTCATCTCGTCAAAGCCATTAAGGACCATTGGATCAAAGCTTTCGTCCATAACCCCACTAGCGAAATCGGACCAATTTGGTACATTTGCCTGCAAATCACAAACCAAGTGTCGATTGTTTCCTTTGCAGTTATGCAAGAAAAATCATGTGCCAAATATTCTCCTCTGCTCTCTCTCTCTCTCTCTCTCTCAAATATTACATTTAATATTTAACATGTTTGGTAACCAAATAAGCTATAAGCTTCATGTATTCAAATAAGCTTCGTTTGGTTGGACGAGCTTTTTTTACCATAAACACTTTTATCTATAAGCTATAAGCTCAAAAACCACTCATAAGCTTATCAGCTATGTTTGGTAACATAGCCTATGCCAAAAAAAGGAAGAAAAAAAAAGGAACAAAATTGAAAACATACATTAACATTCTATATCAAGAGAGATGCTATACCTCATAAGAAGAAGCTGATATTGGCTCCGTTTTGTTCCCAAGGGGAGGAATACTATCCAACAACTGGCACTTTTCAGGTAATTTCGACTGAATTCCAACATGGAGTTTGAGGTCTTCGAGAGAACCAGTAAAGTATGGATCATTTTTCGCCATCTCACGAAGTTGGCGAAATACTTCTTCCTTGTGTTTGCCACATGCCGCATTACGGTTCTAACGGAATCAATAATATTCAAGAGATTAACAATTGGCAGAAAGCAAAAGAGATAAAAAAAACGAAAAAAAAAAAAAAAAACACAAACAGTAAACAACACTCGGACTTGCAGATCATATACGAACAACAAATCACCAAGAGTTCATTCAAATTTCAAACACATGACGAGTTGAATACCATTTGAGAGATAGATACTTCGGAAATCGAACATATCATACACAAAGTATTCGGAAAGGCAATTTCTAATTGTAACTAAATCTATCTGAGAGCTAATCAAAATTTAACAGTGCCTAATCTTCACACCGCCATTAACAGAACTTATCACCTATATGCAACAAAGGAAAATATACACATGAAAAATTTTCAACCTCATAATACTGAAAGCCAACAAATAACAAGCTCTAACTAGGAAAATAAAAACACAACACTTTTTTTCAGAAAGAAAAATAGTGAAAAAACAAAAACGACCTTTGGCAAAGGTGGGACCCCAATAGCCTGAAAACTCCGGCCACCGTCCACACAATCACCGGCAACCACCAAATCATCCAGGCTCACGACCGATGGAGTCTCCCAAACCAGAAAATCCCACAGATCCTCGTCCCGCCCACCACCACCAAGGCCCAGACCTTTTTTCCCCAAATCCTCCAACCCTAGAAAACCCAACAGCTCGCTCACGGAAGGGCACCCGCTGAAACCCTCGACCGGCCTCCGATCGTGGATCGACCCGGAGCCCCGGTGGGTCTCCCAGTCGCAGTTCTGGCAGAGAACGGCGGATTCGGTGCAGCAGAAGATCGAGGACGGAGAGGAACTACACGAATTGCAGAGGAGGGACCGCACGTGCTTCCTGAAGAGCGGGTTTGTGGAGTGTACCTCGAGGTCGCAGATGAAGCAGAGCTTGGCCGAGTCGGCGCGGCAGTAGAGTAAAGCTAACGATTCTTCACAGAAATCGCACAACTGGTCGGTTTTATCGCCGGAACCGTGGTTTTCTTGGTCCCGAGCATTCATGGCGGCGATTTTTTTTTTTTTTACCCTTTTTTTTCTTCTGGGTTTAGGTGACCATTGAGGGGTTTGGATTTGCAGCAAAAGATGGATTTTGAATCAAGGTTTCAGTGCTGTGGCTGTGTAATGTGGGGGAAGACGGTGGAGAAAATTAGGCAAAACCTTATCGCTTTTCACGTGTTTTTTGAGACGCAGGAAATTTGTAGAAGATGAGAAATAACGGGGGTATTTAATTAGGATTTTTGAGGATTTTTTAAGACTTTTACAAGGGAAATTTTAAGGTCCCATTATGGTACCATCCGGTCGAGTGTTTTAACCGTTGGATCATCTATCTTATCTAACTTCAAGTAAATCCAACATTTAAAGGGATGGCGGGACCATAGTATTTCTCCAAATTTAGATTTGTTAAGACTTTTACAAATTTCGGTATTCAATTGAGATTTTTAAAAGTCATACAAACTCAAATCATAAGATATTTAATTTATTTAACACTAGTATTTATTAAGATTTTTTAAGATTTGTGGGATTTCTAAAGAAAAAAAAATTTATACGTAATCCTACTTCAAATCCTACCTCCAGAGATTTCATAGAATTCTTCTCCAATCTGAAAATCCTAAAGTCTCAAATCTTAAAAAATATTAAAATGTCATTTAAATTCACAATTGAATACGATGTGTGCCAAACAGCATATTATAAAAGTCATTATCGTAGGATTAATATTTTTAATCCTCATTTATTTATTTATATATGTATACTATAGGTTTTAAACTCGGTCCGAAAATTGACCCGGATATATCTCCGGCTATTACTTATATAAAAAATATTTAAAAAAATAAAAAAAATATATATAAAGACCGGGCCAACTGGGTTGACCCGGTCGGGTTAAGGCCTTGTTGGTCGGGTTTTGACCGGGTTTGATCGGGTTCATTGTTACCCGATCAAATAGCCTACTATAAGCAGTTCTTGCTCTGGGTCGGCCGGATTCCGAATCAAACTGCTGGGCCGGTCCGGATTGAAAAACAATAATGTATACACTTCATTTTTTATTTTTATTTATTTATTTATTTGGGATAAATGGTGGCTTTATGGTTGAAGTGAAATTTTTTTGTTGAGGCTTGAGATTGGGAATTTTTATGTAATTTTTTATTGTTTGGTTCATTAAGACTTGAATTTGAATTTGACTAATTAAGGCTTGAACTCGACTTGTTAATATTGATAAGATGATTGAAGTTCGAGCTTGAAATTATTTATTAACTCGTCTTGTTAAGGCTCAAATCAATACATGCTCGAGCTCAAATAGAGTGTTATAAATTCAACTAGACTCACCTCTAGCTGATGATCTTAGTTGCATATCTTGTTTGGCTAAAGCAATAAGTATATATTTTTAATCAAACTTATTGACCTACAAGATCATCATGCTTCATAAATCATAATATAAATGATATTGCAAAATTATTGCATAGTACATTATAAACTATATAACTTATTTTACCATTTACATTTCTTTTAAACTTCAACCTCCACTGAATATCTTTTCCAAACTTTATGTCAAATCTTTTTATCCAAATATTTAATTTCATGATTTAAAACCATTTTTTTTTTTTTTTTTT